CAACAGAGGAGGATGAAGATGGCAGGAAACCTTCAATGTTTCCAAGGCGTTCAGTTTAGGAAGAGTCCAAGGCAGTGAGAGATGTCCAAATTATAGCTCTCACTGGTCACGAATGGCCAGCCACGTCCTGGCGAGCCACGGGCAAGCATTGCTGGGGCACTGTGGTGGGACACTGTGGTGGGACAGCCCAAGCCCAAAGCAAAGCAAAACGCTCACCTTGAATGCGACTTTTTCTAGGTTCTTCTTCCCAGACATCCTCTCCAGGAAGTCATAGTAGAATCTCATTTTTACCCTCATGCCCTCGATGAGGAGCACCCCTATGTCCCTCAGGACAAGGGCGACGTTCTCCCCCTTTCCCAAGCAGTGAGAGAGGAGGGACATGATGCCTCGGATGCAGCCCTCCACCTTCTGCCGGGACACAGAGGCCGCCGTGGCCACCTTGGCGTATTTGAGGGGCTCCAGCTCCTTATTGCCTGGAAAACCATAGGAGAGGGGTGGAGGTGGTCACCCAGTGGCCCTTCTGCATGCATTTCCCAAGGGCTGCTTATTGCAGGCATTGCCCAAAAAGGGTGTTTCTGGACCTGCTCTGCAGAGGGGGCACTCTACTTTTGGAAAAGGGATGCAACATTCCCCCTTCCCCCTGAGCCTGCAGCCAGCCAGGGTTTAATCCCACGTCTTACAAGGCAGGTCGTCCTTATTGTCCATGAGATCGTGGACTTTTCCAAGGTTCCTGGCCAGGCGAACCACGGGCCTCTGGATAGTCACGATCTCCTTCCCAATGTGGATCTGTGTGGGGACCACGTCAAAAGAGCCGAGGGTGGGAATTCGGATCCCCTGCGAGAAGAAGAAGAGAAGGGAAAGGCTGAAGGGTGAGGACAGGCTGGAGGGAAGAGCTGGGATTAGCCCCATCCGGGGCAGGACAGTACTTTGGGCTGGACCCTGCCTGCTCCTGCTGTTGAGAGGCATGAGATTGGGCAATGGGGACAGCTTTGGGGAGGAGGTGCTGAGTCCTCTCCCTCTGCTTTCCCCTCTAAAAGAGCAGTGCTGGAGTCAGGGCAGAAGCAGCCCCCAAAGGATCCAGGGGTCTCCAGCGACTGGCATCAGCTCGGAGGTACACCACCACCTACCAGAGGTGGTATCACCCTTGCATGATCCCTGTTTGTCCCATCGGTGGGGACTTTTGGGGTGAGTTTCCTGCTTTCTGAGGAGGGGAAGAGTATCTGCAGGCCATGCCTCAGGGCCATGGGGACTCCCCGCGCCTCTGGGGGGATGAGGAGGATGTGGGGGTGGCCCCACCTTGCGCAGCAGGAGCTTTTCCTGAACGTAGCCGGCCACTGCATCCCAGATGGCCGCTTGCTCTGGAAAACAAAGGAAAACCAGGTCATGCTCCCTGTCCCCTGGCTCTCAGCCCTCCAACACCCCCCTGAGCTGTCAGGCGTTGGCAGAGGTACAGTGTCATTGCTGTCCCCGGCCCCAGACGGAGACACCCCTGAGGTGGCTGCAGGGCTGAGTCTGGCCCACACGAGGCTGGGGCTGTGGGTGGTGGAAACGCTCCCGCAGTGGCTGTGGATGCACCCACCTTCGGGGGTGATGCTGGGCATCATGAAGCTGTGCTCCATCCCATCCCAGAAATCTATCTTCCTCCGCTTCGCGCTGGAGAGTTGCTCCTTGGTGGCGGCAGCCATGTGGGAGCTCATCCCTGTTGGTCCTACGGACACTTCTCCAGGGTGCAGGACCCGCTGCCCTGCGGCCCCTTTTATACCCCAGTGCGGCCGTGTCACAGGCCCAGTGTGACATCACAGCAACGGGGCCACTGCTGGCTCTGCTGCCCACCGTGACATGGCCACTGACAGTGACAGGGCACCCACCGCCCTGCTGCCCCTCTGATGCTGCCCCGGGGGCTGAATTCGAGTGCTCCAAACAAAGGTGCCCCAGGGTCTTCTCAGCGCCCAGTTCCCAAGTCAAGTCTGTCTGCCCATGTTGGTAATTAGTAAATGAGCTCCCCGTCTTTGATTTTGACCCACGAGCTTTGTCATCTTACTCCTTCCTCCTGTCCTCTTGAGGAGGGGGAGTGAGAGAGTGGCTGGGTGTCTAGCCATGGTGGACCCACCGCAAAGGCTGGGGACTTCCCTTTGGTTATGTTTTTTTCCACATAAATAAGGTTCTGGAGGAAAGTAAATATCCCGTTATTCCTCCCATAGAGAACCCTCTAGACAGGCATCGATCATTTGGTCGCTCTTGAGAGCAGTGGTGATGCCCCAAACCAGCAGATGCCCCCTCTTTTACACTTGATTAACACGGTCTTAGCAGGGCCGGCTGGAGCACGGGGTGAGCAGGGCCTGACCAGGAGAGAGACAAACATCACTCAGCCTTTCCCCATCATCCCTCTCAGTGCCAGGCCCAGCCACAAGCCCTGTCCAGGTCCCAGAGTGGGTTAATTCTCCCACAGCATTTCCATGCAGCCTCAGCTCCTCCTTCTCTGGAACTGGGGAGCCCAGAACTGGACACGGTAATGGTGGACCACCTCCTGTCTTCTGCAGATCCAGCATTAGGTAAACAGAGAACTGTTTAACTTTTAACTGAAGTGGTATCAGGATGGGGCATAGGAAAGGGTTCTGTTCTCAGGGACTTCTAAGGGCTGCTGGAGAGCTGAATGAGCTGCTCCCTCCCTGCTTTTGAAACCTATCAGCTGTTCCTTGGGAGAAGAGAGTTAGAGAGAGCAAGAAGGTCTCCCCTCAGCCTCCTTTTCTCCAGGCTGAACACCCCCAGCTCCGTCAGCTGCTCCTCACAAGACTTGTGCTCCAGACCCCTCACCAGCTTCATTGCCCTTCTCTGGAAGGATGTTCAGTCAGCATCTGAAAAACATCGTTGGCCCTGCCCCCTGGGAAGTGGTCAATGTTTTTAAAAGCAAGGGGAGATTTGTCTCGCATAGCGTGATTTAGTCATGTGTTTTAACCACAGCATCCTGCTTTGAGCAGGCAGCAGCTCGCAGCTCGTGAGACAAAAGTCAGTGTTGGGTTTTTTTTTTTTGACTGCCAACCAAACAGCTGGGTTATCTCTCAAAATCTATCAAGCCCCCTCCACAGTGTTTCCCCTTGGCCCCCCTTCCTCGTATTGGTGAGTGGAAAATCAGCAGCCTGTTCTTTCACCTTCCGAAATCTGTACGTTAATGCTCATGTTGCCACTTTGTCTTCACCATTTTCTCTTTAGATCCATCTCTATTTTTGTTATGATCCACAATTTTGAGTCTGAGTGACTTGAAAGGGGCATGAATAATTAAAGTGCCTTTAAACCCAATAGGGCCTGAATTCATAGCCCTCCTGAAGTCTCGTAAAGGTGCAAGGAGTTTCTTTCTCTGTGGAAAGCCCAGGAAAATACTAGGCTGTAATAAGTGGTTTTCTAGTTCTCAGTGGTTACTGAATAGGACAGCGGAACTTCAACCATTTCCACCCAGCTTGCAGAAGAAAGGGCACGGTGCAAACCAAGCAAAATAAAACTTTATTTTGGTGTATATTAAGCAAACCTAAAATGCGAGTACCATATACTTAACGAAATAGAAGAATGCTCTAAAGAAGAGATGGAAATGAAAATACTACTGTGTACCTGTCTGAACTGAGTTCCTTCAGGTCCACTGAAGATCTGGTTACATGCACTAGAAAATTGCCAGTAATAAAAGATTCTAAAAATTAAAACTATCCGATGCTCCCTCTGTGCCTGGGATCCCTAAGCAGAAAAGCATTACTTCGGTAGACAATAATGCAATATGACCAGAGGTAATATATTTAAAGCACTGTGAGTATAAAGTTAAATTTTAAGCTTTTGAAACTGTCATCTAAGCAATTTGAATGCTTCAGTGCCATGGATGCAGGAGCAGGAGAGCTAAGGAGTTAGCAGAGGGGTAAGGGAAATTTCTTATGGAAATTAGAAATAATTGTTCTAACAATTAATGAAACTACCAAGCTAGACAAAAGTGCAGCAGTGTTAGCTGTATAAGAAGACTTCCAGGTGGTGTTAATTGAAGAGCACCTTGATGCAATAAAGGGACTCATCAATCTACTGGAACTGGGGGGCTGGAGGGGGGTGTTGATTCTTTGGAAGTTTGTCTGTAACAGAGCTGACCCATGGTGTTTAAATTATCCTGCGGTGCGTTCTTTCCTGCTCTTCTTCAGTCCATTGCTGGCTCACTCACCCAATACCTGAAAGAGCAAACCACGTTTGGTTTAAATTCTTATTCACATTTAATGCAGTGGTGCTGAGCTTCTGTTAATCTGGAATGGATTGGGCAGATTTTTTTGTGTGTCATTTTGGCTACCTGATCTTCAGAATTCTCCCTCCTCCTTTTTCCATCCCGCTTTTCACATTTGTTGGCTTTTGGGATTCTCCCTTTATTGTTCTTGCTGATGTGGCCATCTATCCAGACTTTGAAACAAGCAGCAGAAGGTTTCTGGTAGAACCTGAGATGCTCTGGACTACCCTAATGCAACGGCAATTTGGGGGTGAGGTGCAATTTCAGGGTTACATTAACTTATCCAGTGGAAAGTGGAACAGCTGAACTTATGTTGTGGGGAGGGACTCTTGATCAGGGAGGGGAGTTTATGTTGTGGGGAGGGACTCTTTTATCAGGGAGGGGAGCCATAGGACAAGGGGGAAGGGTTTTAAACTGAAAGAGGGGAGATTTAGGTTAGATACTAGGAAGAAATTCTTTGGCGTGAGGGTGGTGAGACCCTGGACCAGGTTGCCCTGAGAAGCTGTGGCTGCCCCATCCCTGGAGGGGTTCAAGGCCAGGTTGGAGGGGGCTTGGAGCAACCTGGTGTGGTGGGAGGTGTCCCTGCCCAGGGCAGGGGGTTGGAACTCAATGATCTTTATGTCTCTTCCAACTCTAACCATTGATTCTATGATTGTGTCACTTTTTCTGGGGTTACAGAAGGATGCAAAGCCAGCAGGTCACTCCTTGCACTTGCCTCCTGCGTTCCCAGGGACTGAGTGATGTGTTTCCTACCTCAGAAGAGAAACAGCGTGATACTCATGATTATATTCAAGGTGATGCTTTTCACCAGCAGGACTCTCAAACCCAAAACAGCCATGAACAGCATATTCATTCTCTCCATTTTGACATCTGCTTCTTAAAAAGAAGAGGGAAGAGAGTGTGGTCTTAATATTATCTCCCCCCCTTATCCCCCCAAAAGAAGGAGAATCTGCACATTATAGAATCGTATGTGGATGAGGGAAGCAGGACAAAGGAAAAGGTGACAGAGGAATGTATCAAGTGCAGGGAAGAGAGGAGGTATCTTCCCAGTGAGGAATTCTCTTCCTGTTGCTGTTTTATCCCATGGAAATTTGTCAGCTCTTTAGACTGTTAACCTGGAACAGCGGGTTATTTCTCCATAATTATTTCCAATTCTGACATTTCTGAACCAGAGAAAGCAATTTTTCATGTTCTGGTATCGCGTCCACAAAAACTGCAGCTTATTACTTAAAAACTATCTACAGTTCAGACATTTGTATACAAAAGACAATGCATTTTCATGCATCATTACTGAATCCCCCACACTCTACTACTTCTTTAGGCAACTAACCTTTTGTGGAGGCATCTGTAATCTTGCAGGCATTAACTGTTCCAAATTCCTCAGTCTTCTCTTCTGTTGAATGATTGAGAGACACTATAAATTGTATCCAAACTATATAAACCAAAAATTGCACAAAACGTACCCATAGCTCTTTTTCCAGCAGTAGATAAGCAGTACTGGAGAATCAGATGGCGGGTCATTAATTTTGAGATTAACTCTGTAATCTCGCAGGCATTAACTGTTCCAAATTCCTCAGTCTTCTCTTCTGTTGAATGATTGAGAGACACTATAAATTGTATCCAAACTATATAAACCAAAAATTGCACAAAACGTACCCATAGCTCTTTTTCCAGCAGTAGATAAGCAGTACTGGAGAATCAGATGGCGGGTCATTAATTTTGAGATTAACTTGAAGAGAAAACTTAGCTTTCTACGTCTGACTGCAGAAAAAAAACCCACCCCAGGACTGTTGAGTTTTAGTTCCTCTCCCTTTGGATATGAGCTTTACCATAGGAAAAGAACAATTTTAAAAGTGATCAAAAAATAACCAAAAGATTTGGGGGCGAGGGGAGGGGGGGAATAGCATGTCCTTTTTTTATTTTGTGTTTTCATAAAAGTTATTTCAAGCTTTCTTCTAGCAGGCTTGTATACTCACATCCCTTGAGCTATTCTGCCTTAGATAAAGGTAGACTTGCAAATATTAGAGGTAGGTTTTGGTTGGTCTTTTTTGCGGGGGTGGGTTAGGAATTTTTTTTTTATTTGGTTTGTTTTTCCTTTTTGGGGAAGAAAACTCCAGGTGCTTAAATAGTTGAATTAAGGTGATGTGTGCTAGGTGCTTTTGAATATCTCATCTTCACCTAACTAAGCACCTAAATACCTTTCTGGCTGTGCTTGCTTGTTCCTGCTAGGTTCTCAAAGGGCAAGAAAATAATCTTGGCAGGTGCACCTCCCAGAATCACGTTACATTTGGACCCGAAGGTTGTACCTGGCAGAATTATGCTGGTGGTAGTCTTGTTCCCCTTGTGCGTGACCTTGCAGGTCACCTTGGCATCTGATTCCACTCCAGCTACCTTCATGGTGCTGTATATCCCCTCAGATGTGAGAAGAGGTGCCTTCAGATCATACACAGTGTCACTCATGGGCACATCAAGGCTGATGTTCTTAGGGTAGAAAGCCCTTGCCAAACAAGCCACGTTCAGTTTGTTGTCGTATCGTTTGGGTCCCTTTGATTTAAGCGCAACGACTTCTGGGACAGATTCTTCTTGAATCTCTGAAAAAGAATCATCGTTTTGGGATGATTTTATTTTCTGCATGCTTTTCTGAGAGCTGAGATGCCATTTCTAAATATTAAAGGCTTGCTCACATTTTGAGCAGTTGCTGCAAAAACTAACATGTCCTGTCTTTCCATGGGAACTGCATCCTCCTGAAACTTTTTACTCTCCTTTTTTCCTATCTACACACCTTAGTGTTACACAAAGGAAGGAAAACAACTGCTGGGCTAAGACATCATCCCCACCAGCAGCAACTGCTGGGCTAAGACATCATCCCCACCAGCTATAAACAACAGTCTTAAATTTTGGACAGTTTAATTTAAATTAAAGAGAATTTAAAGCTATGGGAGGTGGTGAGGGTCTGTAGAGTCATGCTAATGGATGTAGCTGGGAAACTGTCTTTGTTTTTCCTTAAAAGCTTTGTTAACTAAATACGAGCTAAGGACCTGAACCCCTGGTTGGAGAATGCATGTTCCAGAGATCCCAGGCAATGGAAATGTCTCCTTCTGCTGTCACATCTCACAATCCCATTGTCCACCCCCACCGCAAACTTAAGAAATAAGTGGAAATGTCTCCTTCTGCTGTCCACCCCCACCGCAAACTTAAGAAATAACAGTAGTAGTAAAAGCAGTGGAACTTACTTGGCTCAACTGAAAAAGTGATCCCGGTTCCAAACACGATCTTGTCTGTTGCTACTCCAAGTTCTCAACACGGTGATACGCTCAGTTACAAAAAGTGCCTCTTCCTTCCCTTTTGCTGTACGGTATTTCGTATGAGGCAGGTAGTCACACACCCTAGACACCACAGGAAAAAAATCACATAGGCTTGAAAATAAGGACCTAAAAGTGGGCCAAAAGAGAGGATTTGAACACGCTGGGGACCTGTAGGATTATCATAAAGGATTATAAACAGTAGTAGTAAAAGCAGTGGAACTTACTTGGCTCAACTGAAAAAGTGATCCCGGTTCCAAACACGATCTTGTCTGTTGCTACTCCAAGTTCTCAACACGGTGATACGCTCAGTTACAAAAAGTGCCTCTTCCTTCCCTTTTGCTGTACGGTATTTCGTATGAGGCAGGTAGTCACACACCCTAGACACCACAGGAAAAAAATCACATAGGCTTGAAAATAAGGACCTAAAAGTGGGCCAAAAGAGAGGATTTGAACACGCTGGGGACCTGTAGGATTATCATAAAGGATTATAATGTTGCTCTGGGAAGGCTCAGAATTTAGTCTAATGAAAAAGCAAAAGCTGTCTGAGTATTATTCTACAGCAATTAGCGAAACTCCTCAGAGCTGCAGAAGTGTTCCAGGTTTGTTTTGGTGGGTTTTTTTTTTCAGTATGAACTATTTTTTTATTCCCCAGGAAGAATAATGTTGCTCTGGGAAGGCTCAGAATTTAGTCTAATGAAAAAGCAAAAGCTGTCTGAGTATTATTCTACAGCAATTAGCGAAACTCCTCAGAGCTGCAGAAGTGTTCCAGGTTTGTTTTGGTGGGTTTTTTTTTTCAGTATGAACTATTTTTTTATTCCCCAGGAAGAAGAGGAATACCCTCAATCTGGGATTTTTGAGGCATTATCTTTCTGTTTGGGCCAGTGCTGAGGGTCATTTGGTGCCTTAGGAAGTCTTTATTGTGCTTTTGGTATCTTTAAAAGAAATGATTGCTCTTTATTAGGTAAAAATATATTGTTCTGTGGGAGGATAGTAAGGATTTTCCCCTGGATGGTGCAAATCCTGCATGATGGACAAGTTCTTGTTCCTTAGTGCCACCTGCACCCAAGGGCTTGTGTGAAGAGGAACATGCAGGTGAGGATAAATTCTGTGTGAACATATTCTTCACATGGAGGTGTTGTGGTTTGTCCTCAGCCGGCCACAAAGAGCCACGTGGTCATCGCTCTAACTGCTGTGAAACTGGAAGAGGGCAGGAAGGAAGAGAAATTTATTAACATCCTGGAAAAAGAAAACAAAAAAAAAAAAAAGAAAAAAAAATTACACGTGCAGGAAGATGATTACAACTTGCAGGTTGTGAGCTGTTATAGGATTGATCGACCCAAGCAAAAGGGACAGCAAGGGGAAGGGGTGCAAAACTCTTATTCTGAACCAACAGCTCGGAAGTGTTGAAAGTTGGCAGTGAGGGATAACAAACTTACTCAAAAATGGAGATGGGAGGATGATCTCTGGCTGTGAGGCCATGTCTGGAAATGGCCCAAGAGTGGATGGATCCTACTCTCTTCCCCAAAGCTATCAGTTGCCCAGGTGATTTCAGGCAAGTTCTAAGGCCTCCTTAGAGTTTAGCAGCAATGGAGGCTCTGCAGCTCCCATCTCCCACAGCAAGCTGTAGCCCATGAAGGTGTTTAAGAGTAAACACACTAACTTAGATTTCTGATGACAGTGAGGCACGTTGGTATTATCACAAACTCAGGAAATGTCCCTTGAAGTGGTCCTTGAGGAGAATCCACAGCTGTTATGGGCAAAGACAAGGAGATCATGATCTGGGCCTACAAAGATGATGAGGGACCTGGAGCATCTCCCTTAGGAGGAAAGGCTGAGGGACTTGGGGCTTTTTATCTGGAGAAGAGAAGGCTGAGGGGGGATCTGATCAACACCTATAGATACTTCAAGGGTGGGTGTCAGGAGGATGGGGCCAGGCTTTTTTCAGTGGTGCCAAGGGACAGGACAAGAGGAAATGGGCACAAACTTGAAGATAAGAAGTTCCACGGAGGAACTTCTTTCCTGTGAGGGTGTCAGACCCCTGGAAGAGGCTGCCCAGAGAGGTGGTGGAGTCTCCTTCTCTGGAGACATTCCAATCCACCTGGACACGTTCCTGTGGGACCTGCTCTGGGTGGCCCTGCTTTGGCAGGGGGTTGGACTAGATGATCTCCAGAGGTCCTTTCCCACCCCATAGCATTCTGTGATTCTGTGGGCTGTAGAAAAAAACATTGATCATACGGTTCAAGAGCATGATCTCTTAAATCATTTAGCTGAGGAAGAAACAGGTGTGGAAAAAGCGTGAAACGGGAGAACCATGATACTCGATCGAGGTGGGGGATAAAGGGGGATTGTTTGCTGTGAGGGGCAGCAATTCAATGATGATGCTCAGTGGGAGAGAGTAGGGTCATCATCTGTGTGTCTGGTCAGGGAAAATGAGCTGTCTTACAGCCACATGCTGCTACAGTCTTCTCACCTTGCTTCCAGGGGCTGCATTTGAGGTAGTCACCTGAATGCTGTGGAGGGAGAGTCACAGCTCAAGTGCAATTGACTGCCTTATTTTGTCTGTCTAAAATACCTCAGGAAGTGACAAATTTCTTCTTAGAACCACTCAGTGTTCTGTAATGGATACATAAAGGGGACACTATGAGTAACTTCTGAACTGTGGCATGGAAAAACCCATCCGCTGAACTGGTGTTGGTAATTCCATGTTCAAAATCAAAAGATCTTGAACCCAACATCCACATTTGAGTGCAAGAAAACCTGGCGTTGGCACGTGATGATTGTCCCATAGACCTGAATTACAATCAGCATCCAATGTGTTCTTTGGGACGCAGGTGTCTGGGGGAAGATGACATTTCAGGAAGTCAGTTCATGTTGGGCGGCTCAGTCCCCTTCAATCACTGTGTCACCTACTCCTCACAGTGATTAATAGTCGTATAAAAACATCTGCGTTTTCACGTCTGCGTAAGGTGACACCCTTCTTTTGTCTTCCTCTGCTCTTTTATTGCTGGATAATCAGACCACTCAGCAATTGCCATAATGTTTTCGCGTCTGCGTCAGGTGACACCCCTTCTTTTGTCTTCCTCTGCTCTTTTATTGCTGGATAATCAGACCACTCAGCAATTGCCATAAATTAAAAATAGCATTGTGAGCATCGTTTTTATGGTAGGTTAAGGCAATAATACAACTTTCTTACTTACTGAAACATTGTCTGTACTTGGAGACAGTGATTGTGGATCGATTTGGATTGTAAGAGGACTTTTAACTCAAATGACTCAATTCCGGGTGTATTTTTAATAAACTTCTAGAGATTTAAGGTCGGATATGGACCTGCTTTGGCAGGGGAGTTGGACTAGATGATCTCCAGAGGTCCTTCCAACCCCATATCATTCTGTGATTCTGTGACCAGCTGTCCCAAACATATTAACTGTCAGTTTAATTTTATCTTACATACCAGGACTATTCTGGACACAAAATTACTTATCTCTCTAATATTTTCATACTCTAGCAAGATGAGTCTGTGATGCACAAATTCTTCGGAGGTTAATTTTGTGTAGTGTCATTGCTTTGTTTTCTGTGCGGATCTGCTAAAATTGGGGGCAGGGTGGGTGGGGTGGGTGTGATGTTTGTCACAGAATCACAGGGTGGGTGATGCTGGAAGGGATGTTAGAGGATTGTCACGTCCCAACCCCCTGCTCAAAGCAGGGTCAGTTAAAGCACGTCCCTAAGGACCATATGCATTTGAGCTTTGAATATGAAGACTCCACATCCTCTCTGGACCACCAGTTCCAGTGCTCAGTCACTCTTCAGAGTTCGGGCTGGAAGGGACCTTAAAGATCAAGTTCCAACCTCCTGCCCGGGGCAGGGACACCTCCCACCAGACCAGGTTGCTCCAAGCCCCATCCAACCTGCCCTTGAACCCCTCCAGGGATGGGGCAGCCACAACTTCTCTGGGCAACCTGGGCCAGGCTCTCACCACCCTCACGGCAAGGAATTTCTTCCTGAGATCTCATCTAAATCTCCCTTTTTTCAGTTTAAAACCGTTATCCCACATCTATTTGAGTTTTGAATATGAAGACTCTACATCCTCTCCGGACCACCAGTTCCAGTCACTCTTCAGAGTTCAGGCTGAAAGGGACCTTAAAGATCAAGTTCCAACCTCCTGGCCTGGGCAGGGACACCTCCCACCAGCCCAGGTTGCTCCAAGCCCCCTCCAACCTGGCCTTGAACCCCTCCAGGGATGGGGCAGCCACAACTTCTCTGGGCAACCTGGGCCAGGCTCTCACCACCCTCACGGCAAGGAATTTCTTCCTGAGATCTCATCTAAATCTCCCTTTTTTCAGTTTAAAACCGTTATCCCACATCCTATGGCTCCCCTCCCGGATCAAGAGTCCCTCCCCATCCTTCCTGTCCCCCCAGCCCTTTTTCTGCTGCCTCTCCCTCCGTTGGCATCACCGTGTTGCTGCCTGGCGCAGAAGTAGGTGGCTGTGTCTGAGGCTGTCAGAGCACGCAGCTGCAGGGAGACCTTGCCTTTGTCTTTGTCTGCAGAGATGGTGACTCGGTCTCGGAAGGTTGGGCCATAGCCTGTGTTTTTCCCATAAGGATAGATCCAGGCTAAAAATTGCAGCTGCCCTCCTGGGGCCTGACGGACAGAATTCCAGTCATACCAACGGCTATCCAGAGGCGCTCCCGTTACAGTGCAGGTGAGTGGGAGTGATCCGGAGACCCTCCCCTCCTTGGGACCAGATGCCACCATCTCTATGGTGTCTCTACCTGGAGAGACACAGGGCAGGTGTGAGATTTGAGTGTTGATGAGAAAGTTCGCGGGTGCAGGAGTCCATCCCGGGGTTGTAGGGTACAGAAAAACCAGAATTTTGGCCTTTAATTCCAGGAGTTATCCCTAGAGGCAGTGGCTTGCCCAAACACTGCAGACCCATCAAGAGACCCATGAGAATCTGGGTAACTGCTGGCAAACATGCTGTATCTTTAAAAATGAATCCAGAAATTTAGCAGAAGGAGAGCATGGGAGTCCCCAGCCCTTCCCAGTCTCCCCGCTCCCTTCTCCAGCTACGTCTGGACCTCCATGCACAGGGGGTGCAGAGAACAGGCTGGGCATGGACACATGGGGGAACTGGTTTGTCAGTTAGACACGAGCCCCAGAGGGACAAGAAGCATGGGGCTCTCAAACCTCCCCAGGCAAGGACCCGCCCCTAGAAAATCATAGAATCATAGAGTCACAGAATCGTTAGAGTTGGAAGGGACCTTAAAGATAATCAAGTTCCAACCCCCCTGCCCTGGGCAGGGACACCTCCCACTAGAGCAGGTTGCTCAAAGCCCCATTCAGCCTGGTCTTGAACACCTCCAGGGATGGGGCATCCACAGCTTCTCTGGGCAAGAAGGGAGGCAAAGGAGGGAGGGGGCTCTCACCTTTAATGGCTGCAGCAAAGGTGATGACCAGCATCCAGAGGAGCATTGCAGGCTTCCCCAAAGGAATTTGCATGGCGCACCGTGAAGTGGGAAAGTAAAATTGTGGGGCTGAGAAGGGCTCAGACCTTCCCCTGAGCCAGCAGAGAAATGCCCTGTCCTTCCAGCGCTGAAGGCTCAGGCGTCCTTGCCACTCCAGGCAGGTTGGCAGCCTTTTCTGAGCAACCCCTTGCAGGAAGGTTGCAGGTCCTTCGTACTCTGGGGAGCTGGGTGACATCCGTCACTGCTGGCCTGGGTGGGGAGAGGAAACCACACTCATTTTTTGAATGCCTGCACAGGAAACACAGGGACCTCTTGTCTCTCCAGGGCCCCTCATACCGGTATCTCTGAACCTCCTGTCGGATGCTGTGGCCATGTAGATGGCTGTGGTCATGTAGATGGCTGGGAGGGGTCAAGCATGGTAATGTGGAGGGGGATCATCTCCCCAGGAGAGATATGCATGTGGTCAACAGAAACATCTAGACATTTTCCAAGGAGAAGGGATGTTCTGATATTCTGCACCAGGGTGGGGCAGAACAACTCTGTACATCAAGGCAGACTCATGGCCTGCCTGGATGAGGAGCAACCTCAAGGACCATGCCTCAGTGGGCTTCACAAGGGATGCCATACGAGTCCATGGTGCTAACTGGGAATATGGCCATGTGCCTACTGGGCTGCACTGGGAAGAGTGGGGCCACCCAGACAAGGGGAGTTATCATTCTTCTTGACTCGGCACTGGTGTGGCCACACCTGGAATGGTGTGTCCTGGTGTGGCCCCCGCCTCCATTCACGAAGAGTGGGGAGGAATTGGAGAAGCTCCAGAGGAGATCTGCCAAGATGGGGTTGGAGCCCATGTATGGAAGAGGCTAAGAGACTTGGGCTTCTTAGGCCTGTTGAAGCAGAGGCTCAGGGTAGTGTAGTAGTAGGATGATGGAAGCTTGAAAGTTGCTTACAGAGATGATTATGTGTTTTTCTGGCAGTGGGAAAGAGTCCAAGTAAGGAAAACCACCAGAAGCTGCAGCTTTGGAGGTCCAGACTGAAAAAGAGGAGGAAGAAATGCTATTCGAAAGGTAGTGCTGTGCTGCTGCAGGTGACTGAGGGGGAATCTGTGACCTAGCTTTGTATTTCAGGGAACAGCCAGTGAGGATGGAGAGGTATCAGTGAAATAAGGACATGCTGGGGTGAGGAAAAGGTGGGGAAGTGGGTGGGATGTCTGCAGCCCGCAGGGAAACAGACACAGGTGTGGGGTGGTGTAGGAAAGCCTGCAGTGGAGGTGGCTGAAGGTGCTGGCAGGACTTAGAGGCTCCAGCAGAACTGAGGTCTTTGTCCCTTGGCTATGGCTGACATCTCTGACACCAAGGCCTACGATGAAACACATTGTCCTCATGGAGCCTCATTTCCTCCTCGAGTCCTGCAGGGAGGCCAGAAGGTGTCAATACCTTTGACCTTCACTTGAGCCCATATCT